TCATTTACTTACTTTCTTATGTATGTAAGTAAGTAAGTAACCCTAACCCTAACAATACTTCACATTCATGTGAAATGAAATTCATGTCATCCACAGTTACTTACGTGAGCGACAACCTATAGGATTTCAACATCTCAAATGTCTGGATTTTTCGTGTTGCAAGTCAACCGGTTGCTGTTTCAGATATTGCACAGATATATTTTAGTCTTTGTTAAGTCTTGCCAGTTGAACGCTACTTCTTATATTTGGTCGTCGTTGTTTGTTGTGTTGGAAACACTTATCACGCATACTCGAAAAGAGGGATCTCTGCAATTCGACACACTCAGACTGTTACGCCATGGGTTTTCGCGTACATGAAACATGTTGTCGTGGATTTTTTTATGTCGTTATTATCAGCTATTAACAGTCTTTTTTCCATCACACGTCAATTTCCGTAATGTTTGTGCTCGTTACATACTTTTTATTCCAATGTATTAGCAGTTTGACGTATTTGTTGCTCACCACCCATGTGAATCTTTAGTAGGCCTAATATGGTTATTTGTAACAATACAAACTCAAGCAAGTAAAATTCACCATTTTTCAAGTCAAGAAATAGATCACAGATTGAGTTTTCAGGAAAATAAGCTTTAAAACCTATTACATACGGTTCACCTCCTTGATTATGGTGATGATGAACAAGAATGTTGGTAGTTGTTTATAAAATGTAGGTAGAAGCAATTAAGCGTTAATGTGTTTATGAATATTATATAACCTGCTAATATTTAGCCATAAAATGTTATATCCATTATAAGTATCATCGTTTTGTACTGAAGTGACATGCTATTATATAACGTATCTGAGGAGAATTATGTGAGTAACAATTGACATTGATAGTCTTTTCCATCCGCTTTCTGAATGTATACAGGAATAGTATGTAAGACCACTGGAAGTGCCACATTAAGTAGTCACAAAGTCTTCATAAGTAAAACGATGCGTGTTTGTTTGGAGCATGGTGACAAAACTATGTCATAGTTAATACTGATTTATGATGTGTCTGTTATAGGGTTCACGAATAAGTTTCTGTAAACAGAATCCGAAATCACTGACCAAGTTATGAACAAAGTTATAATGCATATTGTCGAGTAATATCTAAATTGTGCTGACAAATATTTTTGCTAATGCCAAATGTCTAGGCGAAATACTAGAAGGCTTAGAAACTGAAGAGCGCTGTTTACATGAAATAATAAACTTATAGGTTATTCGTCACCTGGTAGTGAAGTCATAAATACAGTGAAATCAGAGTTTTAAGGCAATATGTGCTGTGAAACTGTTATGACTGTGGAAATTGTTGCTGATTAAGGAGTAACGAATTATTGATCGGACCAATAAGATGATATCATTTCATGTCCAAGGATAGCATTAGGCTTAACAGGATAATTTTTGGGATATTTTCCTGAATATCCCAATAGAAACCATTAACATTTCATTTATATCATAACCTTGGTATAAACAAATATCATAAGACTGTGAAGCGTTCACAGTTATATGATGGAGATTTGAAGCTCCTAGTCCTTGATACGACACAACCCTAGAATCAAATAAAAACTATTAATTAGTTATTTCTTGAATTCCTACTCCACTACAGACTGACTCGTTCAAAGTAATTCATGCAAAATACGTGACGAAAAATGGACGAGCAATCGAAGCTAAATCAAAAATTTATCGCACTCATATCTCCTTTGTGCCACATTAATTAGTCACATTTCCCTCATAAGTTGGACGATGCTTGTATATGTTTGTTCTACAGATTACTGAGGAATTTCTATTAACGAAATCCGAAATCTCTGATGAATAGCACTGTTTGCAAATAGGAGACTTATAGGTACATTCTGTTACCTGCTATTTGATTAACTTATTGAATGTGATACTGGTAACTAAGTTTAACTGTTTGTTTCACAACTGATTTTTTTGTTTTCAGAATTGTATAAAGCTATTTAGATCCTCAAAGCTTTGTGACAATGTTTACGTCGGTGTACAACTTATGGAATTTGTGATTATGGAAGATCATGTGGAAAACCAGTTTACAAGTTTATGATAACTGTGTTCTATATTACCTACTGACATTTTCATTCACCTAGTGAATTATTTAAATGTAAATATAACAACTATACTCAGTGTTTTACATTAGAAATCCTGTAGGTATGTACAGAATAGTCTATATGATGCCAGACCAAATATTGATGCAGAATAATATGAATTTATTATAATTCATGGAATGAACAAGTAATCTAAGATGAGTTACATAATCATTCATTTTATTCTTTCATATTTAGTTACCGATTTCTTAAACCACCCTGTCACTCACTTGCCCACTTGACCCCCTTCAATTATATCAACTCTTCAAATTCTATTTAATTATTACGTACCCAACTTATCAGTTTTTAAATGCACTGATACTTTATTACCTATAAAATTTTCACACCACTTATCTCCCTGTGAACTCCACTGGATTATTACACCACCCAACCTTGATTCTAAAAACAAATAACCTCTGACCTGTTACTGCATATATACATATGCATATAGTTATTATTGGTAACCTACGTTATTCCAATTCTTTGCATTCAGTTATGTCGATTGTTTCATACATCAATGTTAAATTCTGTTACGTATTTGGTTGTAAGCAGCTGACGAGAAACCCCAGAATATAATTAATTCATATTATTCTGCATCAATATTTCTTCTGGTTTTATTTACATTCATAAGCAGAACTAATCACATGAAATTATAGTCTACTTAGGTACTGATACTAATTTGATAATAAACGTAATCCGACGACGGTAAATATTTCATGTGGGTGCCTAATCTGTAAGATCTAACGTGGAAGTAGCGTCACATTCCTTTTTAATTCTTACAGACACTCGTGAACATTATTGGCACTCATCCCCATGAAAGTAGGAATAAGAGGAAAATAACAATTATTGAATCATCATTAACACTGAAGCGGAAAAACAAGTTTACTAGTTGTTATTGATAATTACTCAATAATAATTGTTGACTTTGTTTCTCAACTTCCGTCACGAAACTTTCACCATATTTATCAATGATGTGATGCCTGTAAATTCTTTGGCGTCGTAGAATCCTTATATACTCATCATTCCGTCTCGGTAATGCAATATTTGTGTTATTTTGGAAGTTCTGCGTAATATGTAGCCTCCATCTCCTGCAATGCCTAAGAAGTTGATGAGCTATACAGTTTATATTTTATAATTAATTAAGCTTACCTGTAATACTTCGTCTTTTAACATATGCCAGTAGCATGTGGTGGCAAGGACATTGACACGTAACACGTATTCTACAATTGTACTCACAAGTGCTTACATCCACTTCCTAATGCTGTCCGCAGTCGCCGTTTTCATCTTGTGGGATTTGATGACATACCCTTGCTCCTGCAGTCTTACACGGAACTTTGTCTGGCCGTTCATGGTCGTTGAAACGAAACGGCAGGCAGATTCGAACGGCTCTAACATTTTAACAGTGCCCTGCAATTACCATGACGCGAAAGTAAGAACATAAAGACTGGAATAAGTGGATATTTATTAACCCCCAAAACATGACGACGACGACGACGACGACGATCCTAATCAAAAATACACTCATTTATATATTGATTGTACACACAGATTAATAATTAGGATGAAATTATGTATATAAAAAAATGCCCCGCATAGTTCATATCAATTTTTAATACAAGAATATCGTATGTTATATAGAAGAAAATATCATACGGGAAACGAAACCGAAAACTACACTGAATCATCATCATCATCACATTGAATGAAAAGTGAATTAATGTTGAACAAAACTCATAATGTGTAAATCAATCGAAAAATTGACTTTTCTTTCCGTCATATGAATCTTCGTCTTTGATATATAACAAGAGGACTTTTATGTTGATTAGATATGTATTTATATCATCTAAAATGAACAGATTTATTTTATCTAGTTAACAAAGATTACATTCAGTATTCAGATGATTTCATTGCCTTCATAATATTGTGTGCATTTAATTCCTATCTCCATTAAAATTATACTTTCCCTTTCACATTCCAATCATTAGTATTTATAAACGGACATAATCTACACTGAATGACTGTTTATTCAATAATTAAATGTGAGCCATTTTAATCGGTTCAAATCAGAAGTGATAAATGGAAAGTAACTGATGGTTTAGATGGGATATTTTCAACGTAAACTCATCAAAGTCGACGAGATCGGAGTATACAGACTTGCAGTTTATGAAACGAAATGTAATCGAATATTTGAACTTAGAGTTAACGATTACTTTAAATATACCGTCATTTAATTACCTGTATGTGTGTGTACCCCCAAAATGTTGAATATTAATCATTCGGTTAACTTTGGCTTAGTATTAGTGATTAGTAAACAATATATGGAAATGAACTATGGAAACATCAGAAACTAGATGCCATGTAATATTCAAGTACCATGCTTGTCTAGGTTTATATGAAATGGATTTTGATTATCGTCATTTGTACGAGATTTGACCTTTTATTCAGTAAAATCCTTTGTTTTAATTGTCGGTAAACTGAAAAACCTATAAACTTCATGTGACAGACTACACGAGTTTTCGATAGCATCGATGATTTAGAAATATCAAGTTGAGATGATTTGTTCAGCGTTTCATCGTATTTTTCTCAATATCAAGAAGCTTTTAAAACTCTGATTGTAGTTTGTGAAACTAACTGTGGTAGGTTTTCGAGTTTAAGATACGTAAAAGTATAGCTTCACCTATTCAGATGTATTTCCAATCTCAGGATGATAAGCTCACCTAGCTATTCAATGAACGTCAACAGAATGAGTATTCTCTTACAAATTTAGCATTACCAGTTACTTTAACAAATTTTAAAAGTATGATGAGAAGACATAGGTAATCTCGAAATCCAGTTTTACTTGTGTAATACACTTCGAATGATCTCGTCACCAATGTAACATTATGCATGAAATTTGCGAAGGTAAATAAATACACTATAGAAGTTAGAAATTTGAGGGAAAAGAAGGAATTATTATGGAAAGAACAAGAATTTGTTACATTACAATATACATTGAATTTCATTAAAGTTAACCAAATCAGTGTCGTTGATATACAAAGTAATATATGTCAAGTCACTGTTGTTAGTAACGGGATTTTAATTCTAATCAACTCTCTTTGATACTTAGGGAACTTCGGTAACATCAATCTATATCAAGATTATATAATTAGGCTTACATAATACAATAACTTTACCAACAAAAACTAACTCCTGATAATAACTATAACCCTTACTCTTACTTTTACAATGACATCAACCCTACTGTCTTACAACATAACTGAACTATTTGAAGGTATTTATTTCTGGACTATTGTCTCAACAAACAACTTTTTTTATACATTTTCGAATAAATCACTGTTAATGATGAATTTATTTGGTGCAAAATTATTCATTTACTGCAACAACAACAAAATATTCGGTTTTATTATTGGTCACATTCAATGATCCAATCGCAGTGTATCACAAACAAGCACAGTTTACTGAATTATCTCAAGCACTGATATCTATGGTACTTATCAAAGTATTTGAATGATTAGGATTTTATTTATTAATTACCTTACTCCATCAAATCTAATGTTTCATGGTTCAATGTATTCAATATTAATTGTATATTTACACTGTTATGAATATTCACTGGTTAACCTGTTAACCACAGACCATATGATCAATGAATTCATAAGTGATAACACTGAAGAATATGGAAAGTTGATTTGGGAAATGAATCCTACAGACAAGTATGAATGGTTTTTTTTTTTAGTAGAATTCTTTGTAAACAAACTAGTCTTATCATTATTATTATACACAATTGATTAGAGTCGACCAATTGTCTCCTGTTCTATTTAATCAATTTAATAAAAGTTTAATTCCTGCAATATCATATCTGGTAAATTGCTCTGTTTTTTTGTTGTCAAATGAATGATTCATTCAATGTACAGGGTGTGAATACTTTATTCCCAATAAAATATTATGGTATGCAATATGATTCAGTGAATATACTATCTAAAGGTAAGTGATAAACATTTTATTTACAAAATTCACTAAATCATATCCATTTTAAACTATTCCAACTTGAACTTTCACCTGTGGTTAGTTGTTTACGGTAAATGATTTGTTTCATTTATTATCTAATAATACTCTAGAAGTGCTTAATCGATATAGTTGATATCTGCTACGATGTGGTAATCATTGACGTCAGTAATTCGATTCGGTACACATGTAATCATTTGAGGCAAATAATAACATCATATACTTAATCAGTGATCTGAAATTGTTCGAAGAAACATTTAAACGATGAACTATTTAATAAGATCATGTTCGTTGGATATACTGCCAACTTCAACTCTGAGCTTCACGATTAAATTATCCAGCTCATAAAAAGAAATTCCTCCGAAATCATCCACTTGGGCCACATATCGTCCCCATTATCTCACTACTTTCTATGAACGTATAATTTATTACCAGTCTGTCATTGAAATTGACTACATTACTTCCGCACTGATGAGTTCTAACAATTGCAATCATCATTCCTTTGTCCTGACGAAAATATGGTTTAAAGAAATTTCACGCCAATCAGTTTATAGTTTATTGGTGTTCGTTTACAGATGAAATGTATTATCGTTCAATTTGTGTGCCGAATACATTAAACAAAGAGTATTTTTACATTATGCATCTTATTATTAGTCCATCGAACAGTTTTCCATCTTTGATGTGTTTTTTTTTTATCTCAATTAAGGAATCGTAGGTATTGGAAAATCATTTCGTCATTCCGGAGCAATGAAAAAAATTGAAGTTTTTAATGGGATGGATAAAGATGGTGGAGTGGAGATAATGAATACTAGTAAGCTTTCTCAGCCTATTCACGATATCAAGTGTCCTAGTGACTTATTTACGTATTTTCTCCAGACATTTTCTATCGACAACAATAAATTGCAACGCAATAACTAATTATACGTCACTTTAGTTTTAAGAAACGAAACCAAAACGAGCTTTCTTTATTCAGTAATACCGATAATCACAAAACATCACAAGAACTATGAAACTGCAGTTGTTAATCTAGTCACCATATACGTAATTTATGTAAAACCATATTATCCCGTTAGTCTTTCTTTACCATTTTCACATTTATTTTTAGTAACTTTATTGATTTGATATGGAGTTTACTCATTTCCCCATAGACTTCATTACAAAATATAAAACATCCTTCTACAAACACTAAAAACAAGAGTGACTTGAGTAAATCATAAATTAAATTCTCATTCAAAATGATATGGCTTATGTGACTGCTTCACAACACTTATTGTGTTATTCACTTTTCAATAAGACGTTCAGTGTGAAACGATAATTCATTTGGAGTAGTTTTACAGTAGTGAACTAAGATGGATGGTTTAACATTCATTTTCATCCAGTACTATGGCATAAGCAGCTTCCTTAAATAAAAGTAAAAATTTTAGCTACATTCTACAGATGTTAAATCACTATTTGATTGGTCATCCTCGAAGGTCAGATTGTTTTCATGTACGGAAATCCACTATCATTTTCAGTTTCATCAATCATTCATTTTTCCATTTTTTTCAGTCAAAGCTTGGCTTCTAGATGTCTATATGCATTAATGTGTTTTATAAAGTGCTATGTCTCTTCATTACAAACCTATATCCTTGAAAGTTTTGTTGTAGAAGACTTCCAATTTCTTAAGTAGAGTACCTACTGAAGTTGATACAATTAACCTTATAAATAGTATTGGATAGGTCTTTATTTACAACTGCTTCCTATAGTCTACTTAAGATGTGACAGAGTGATATTGTTGGCTTATGAGTTATTCGGAATCTTAGTATCTCAGAATTTTGTTAATAATTGCCGAGATTTATTTTTAAGTGTGATCTGTCTTGAATCGTCTACGTATGTTTCTAGAGCAGTAGACAGATCTTCTTAGGTTGCTTTGTAGTAAATTTATGGGTACCGATTCATCCAGAAGTATGAACAAACCGATTTTTGTTAATTTTACACCTAATAAACGTATCATAGTGTTCCAGCCTTATTAGACATTATTTGTACACACGTTCATCTCATTTTGTTAAATTTACGAAACATATTATCGAGCACAAACCTAACACAATATTCAGTGGAAACCCAGTACATAAGATGATAAAAAAAGTCTTTGAAGATAACCAATCACTGACAGAATCATCAGAACGAACAAATTGGTAGTTATTTAATGAATTCAAACGCTTACTCCTATTTAAAATAGCATCTACTGGAGTCATACAGAAAACAAATGAAAGCTTTACAATTAAACTACCCAGCTCACTTTTATATCAAAAGAAGATATGATGAAGAAATTATCAGTCATAATTTCGGAAAAGAATTTCGAAGTCGAGTTAAATATTTCCTCAATTAAGTTATTCAGTTATATTTCGATTAAAACTTTGTCGAAACAAATCGACCATAAACGCCGAAATGACTTCCCCTGAACTTTAAGTTGTATTTATATAAGGGATTCCAAGTGTGTTCCTTTAATATACTTTTCACTACTCAGTATCCTTCTTTCATCACTAAGCAGTTTCATATTTTTATTCTAAGCGATATTTTTATACGTGATGAAATCATCCTAACAACTGTTTTAGAGATCGCAAATATAAATATATATGACAAGAATGTTGCAAAACTAAGTTAATCTTTGTCAAAATAATAGCCAGTCAGTCAACTACAACGTATGACCAGGCACATTATGTAACAGTTCAAGTTGCCAAACCTCAATAGTACAACAAGGTGAACACCAAATTCATGGAAGCAGTTACCTCACTAGTATTAATATTTAAAAAAGCATCGGCATATAAGGATATGATACAGGGAGAAAGAATTAGTTCGTGGAAAGAAAGATAAGAAGCGATTTTAATCTCACGGTTTGAGGGAAGAAATTGAGTGTATACACCTACTCCATTGTGGTCGATTCTGAGCCATGTCACCGAGGGTCTCCAAAAATTGGTTATGATAGCCACACGGATCCCAACCAAATAGTCTGATTCTACCAACGTAGCTCAGACTAGAAGTTAGTGACTTCGAGCACTGATGCCACATTTTAGTTTGGCCGCTTCTAACTTTCTTTCAACCAACACTAACAGTAGTCAACAATGCTCGTCATGGTGATCGGTGGCTGGTAATGCGTACTACTTGGTCCAACCATCTCATTCGATGTAGATTCACAACCTCATCAACTGATTTATCATCATCCCCTATACCCTCCGTCTATCCTCACTATAACTTAGGCGGTGATGCCAACAGATGGGAGCAATATTTCCAAGACATCTGTGATCAAATACTAGTAACTTACGAGTATCCTCTAATTTTAATGGCCAAGTTTCGCAGTCATAAAGTAGGACAGAACGAACTGCTGAGCAGTATACTCGTCCTTTAATTGATAGTAAAAGTAAAAGTTGTTATTTTAATTAAATAACAAATCACCATTATCTTTGGAGGAACTTAATTTCATATACAGTTACATGTATCAAGATAATGAAGAAAATAACGTAATTTTCAATTTTCAGACAAATTTTTGGCTATCAAATGGATTAATTTAAGTATTTCTACTTTACATGATGATGAGCCGGAAGAGTATGGTAAGTTGTGCAGTTTATTACTGAAATATAGCCTATTTTTTGATCCTTTCAAAAATGAACATCGTTTTATGAGGATAGTTAGGGAAAAAGCAATAAGTTACATTAGTTTACTGAAATACAGTCTTTTTGATCTGTTGACTTCTTATCAAGACATTCCAAACCATATTTTTACTCCAGTTTTATATGAACATGTTCAAGGGAATAATTGAACGTTTAATCTTTCAAACTGTCTGTACTCATTTAATATTTTAATAAGTAAACTTAATTAAATGAAGTAAAATGGAGTATAGACTACCAGTTCACTTCAATTTCAACTTGGATGTTTGCACATTATTCTACAGAAAAACTAAAGTCACAATTGCCCCATGAAAATTACATTAATCAACTATCAGTTCATAAAGCAAAGTTAAATATCGATTATAATTTTATAATAAACTGAAAGAAAAAAAAAGCGTTCTCATTAGGAATTTTTCGTTGTTTGATAATAAGTACAATCCATGTTGTCGACTGCCAAATATCGATTCTTACTCACAAGTTTGATTGATAATATTTCATTTCCGATAAAGAATTTACTTGAATAATCAACTCGGAGAATATAATTTTCTGATCATCTCTTTTATATAAATAATAATCCTTTCAGATTTATTGTTATTTTAATGGTGAGATTGAATAAATTCGGTAATTTTGCTAACATTCTTACGTTGGTTACAAAAATATATGAAAACACATAGGATGCATCTAAATAAAAAAATTTTAAATAAAGAAGGAATGAATTGAGCGATGAAATTTCTTTTCAATTAGTTTTTCATCATAACTCTACACTAATATACATAAGTATGATTTACACTAATGATATAATACTCATCGAGTGGATACGTTACGTAATGATCATTACATAATGACATTTAAATTAACATTCAGTAATTGGAAGAAAGAGGATTATTAATATTCAAAGTGATCAAGAAGTTACGTAATGTAAGAAACAAAGAAGGAACAGAATTTAACGGATAGTCAATAGGATAGTAGTTACGTAAGAATCAAGAGATGAATGTTGAGAGGTTATAAGGCTCAAAAGCAACAGAAATAAAATTACAAAAGTTTAAAAAAAACAAGTGGAAGAATTATAAAAAATAGTTCTTTTGTAGGAAATCTTAAACTGATGGCCAGGGTAGGGAAAGTGGTTGTACGAATCTCTTTTGAATGCAAAGGTCAGGTTTGTGAACATGAATTGCGATGGCTTCCGCAAGCATGATAAATAGAAAAAAGTTTAGGTATTAAAACCCAGTTTATGAAATAGGAAAATCACTAATACTAAAATATTATATTACTAAATAAGAAATATGGTAATTTAATATTGTTGCTAAGACATCATATGTGACGATTGATTAAAGTGACGTTAGAATTCGAAATGACAACATTGATAACAATGATAAACGTTGTGGTCAATGAATTTCAATTCAAATAAGAATACAATACCTACATTGAAAGGTAACAAAGGTCGAATTTGTATAAAGTGCCACTATTGGCCATAATCATTTATTCTTTAAATTCGATGAAAATGATGATGCCTCTGCCTACGAAATTCGTTGATATGTCAGATATGTATTGTAGAGAGAATAGATAATAAAGTGTCAGTTTCTATTATGTAATTCATTTAATTCATTTTAAAGAATAGATCGTGTAGACCTTCAACCTTGCTAATATTTTATTTCAGCCATAGTGGCTTGCATTATATACTCCAATGGAAATATATCAGTTTACTTTGAGAAGGTAAGTTAAACTGTTCGTTAATACATTATGCTATAAATATGCGGTATTGGATTCATAGTATTGAGTATTTCCAGATAGGATTTTTCTTGTTAGCTTTATGCGGGTAAAAATTTTTTTATCTACTTGCTCTCTATTCTGTCAGAGAACAATCAAAAAATAACTTATGAATGAGACTAGCAGTGGCTGTAATATGTACAAACCATCTGCAATCAATAGTTTAAAACTCTTCACCAACATAATATGTGCCATTAGTCTTGCTAACATCCTTCATAGTCCCACGCTGCACACTATGGTCTTCTCTCAAAACTTGAAGGAGGATTAAATGGGAAATTTAGCAGAAACTGGTAAAATAATAGAATAAATTAACTGACAAATTTAAAAATAAAATAACTTTTCATTCATACATGTAAGTTATGTGTTCGGTTGATTTTCCCTTATTCCATGAACATTAAAAAGAAACACTGAAACGAAGATGGATCCCGCTAGCGAGATCGTGGATGCGCACTGCTGGAGAGTCCCACAATAGGACAAAACGCCTGTCCAGTGCTTCCATGTTTTCAATAGTGGTCTAAGATCATCGGTTCATGATCTCAATCAAAACTTAACAATCTCCACAACCCCTAAACTGGACAGTATATGGTTGCATAACTTCTTTAGCCCTTAACTAAAGTAGATTTATCTATATTTTGAAACAGATTTGGCTAACAAGTCTGAAATTTTACGGAAATTATCTCCTGTTCTCAACTATTAACCAACTTGAAAACATCATTAGACATTGTCACATATTTGGAATAAGTAGTAAGTAGTCAAGCGGCCATAAATATAATGCAACAAGCAAGTGTTTTTGAATTATGTTCCATTTTAACGGCGTCGTTAATATAAAAATTTGACATCAAAATTATACCTAAATCAAAATGTAATTTATTGTTATAGCAATTTGTTTCAACCAACACGAAACGTGAATAGACTAAACTGTGATTTATTGAATTAAATAATTAACTGAAATTTTTTTTAACCAGTTCAGTTTTTTGTGTAAAATTGTCTCAAGACTAACAGTCTGTGTTTAGTGCACATTTCTCTTAACAAACAGAAATACTTATCAATGACTAAATCTATTTCACAATTTTTAGTGGTATCTGTTATTAAGTATAAAACAAGGTAGTTTTTCTACTGATAAGTAAGTAAGTACGGTCAGTAAATAATTAGTTTGCTATAGTAATTGTTTTTAACTATCAGAATGTGGAAAAGTAGATACATAAATGAACTGATTCTGAATACACAATGAATTTTTTTCTCCCTAAGGTGGGCAATTTAATCATCCAGATTGACTCATCAATCTCATAGAATAAACTGGCGCTACAAATCTCCTTCACTATCAAGGATTTCTATTACACTTTCAAGACAGTGTAATACTACATTAAGTTGAAAATGCCTTAAAATATTCTTAGCTTTTCAACTGACATACAAACTCTGGGTGCGTACTTCTAAGGAATCCCATACTAGAATGAATGATGCATACAGTGATTTCGTGTTTCTAGTGGTCCTCCAACTAATGTCAGACCGTTGCGTAAACTCTGGAATTGAATATGCGGTATATGAACTGAATTACACGACATTTTAGAGATTTGTAGTTATTGCTAGTTTAATTAAAATCCTTTGATCACTTAAAACTCTTTTTCAGATGGCATCAATTGCTCATAGTCTTTGCTTGTTCAATGGAACAAATTAACGACCTTACTTCTGATACAAATCTCATTCCATCTTAAGTAGACGTTGTTTCTACAATGTATTACGAATATTTTTTGGATGAGGTTAAAGGTTAGTGGGTATAGATGCGTTAGAAGGACTGTTAAAAGGACTGTTAAAAAAAACTGAAGTATAACTATATCTTCAAATCCCTCCATAAATATTACTTGAATGATAGAGATGATGAAAAATACTGAATATAAGAAAGACGGATAAGTGGCAGTGCGGGAACGTGGATGCGCACTGCTGAGGAGTCCCATACCAGGCTGAACATTTCTTAAATTATTCATACTCATAATTCTCATGATTATATATGAAAAGTATGAGAATATAAATTATTTATCTTAATATGTAAGTGATTCTAACAATTTTTAACTCAAAGTTGAGTAACACATTTATAGCTGGTCACAATTAACGAGCGGTTTAAGTTGCGGTAAAACTTAATGAGTTAAGAGGGAGTTTATACATGACTCATTGATTACTATTCATTAAAAGTATACAAACTAATTCATACAATAATAACTCCCTACATTTCAGATTATTCCTTTTTGCCTCATCTTAACACTGGTAATTCGGATCATACAGTCAAAGTTACATTAAAGAAACAATCTGATCAAAGCATTTATTGTCTATAATTAATTCAACACTCGTAGATTTTTCATTCTAGTTCTAGTTACTGTTACTTCGCTTACTTTAATACTGATAGATTTATAAAACTGATCGAAAATAATTTATCAAATGTTCTTCATTGTTTCACATTGTTCTTTCTCTCCAGATACCAACAGAATTTGGAAACAATGGAGGGAAAATAAGTATTACAGATGGTTATGATTATGCTACATATAATGCAAGTGAGATTTACACATTCTGTCTAAAATAACCGAAACTAGTTAACTCATGTGATACAAAATATTCCTTATTTAATGGCAAATATGAATATTTCTGGTTAATTCAGTGAATATTCAGTTAGTTATAATTTAACTTATTGATAATTAATCTTTTATCTGGTGACCATGTGAAGAACAATTTTAACCAATTAACTTTTCAATTTCACTAAAATAAATCGTATTCACAGTAGTGCATTTACAGGAGTAAGATAGCTAGAATGAAAACTGCCTACTGCACTAACCCATTCATTATATGCAGTAGTTATATTAGTATGGTATAGAATAACTATTGTGACAATGTTTGTCAAATTTCTCATAAGGTCTGAGCAATAAAACATTCTTGATATTCTATAGCAAAGGTAACACACTGCTTCACAAAAAAAACTATGACGTTTTATAGGTTACTATTGAAGAGAACCGTGATAATCTAGTTGTAAGAATCATGGAATTGTATGCTGTATGATGGAAAAAAAATTCCATCTTGAATTCCATTCCAAATTCCTCAAAATAAAACAGTTTTTAGATTTAAAACCATGTAAATTCATCTAATTTTTTTACCTAAAATTTTGCATTTACTTTCGTATAGCTGGACTATACATCATTAAAACTTCGTACAGTAATATTAAAACTCCGAAAATCATGATAAGATCTGGGACGTTGGTTGAATTCGCCCCAAATACAAGTAAATAAATTGAAATTTTTTAACAGTATCCCATTTAACACAAAAAAAATATTGATCCTTTAATATAGTAACGCTTCATTTTGAAAGTTTATCAAAATAGTTACTAAGCAATTTATTGCATATGCAACTATTAATTATATTCGTTTTATGACTAAACAACTGACTCATGATTTCAATCTGTGAAAATTTCTAAAAATCTCCACAAAACACATTCTGATAATAATAATCACCTGCTCACTAGTGACTGACTTCAGGAGACACTTCTGGAGTTCTAGTGAGAAGTCGTTACCAGTGGAGTTCAACCAGGTCTGTTGTGAGATAGGAACTCACTGAAGACAATGGTGTACGGTAGCGCAACTTCGTGGATTGGTTGAAGTTAGACATTAACACCGTTGGATGCCGGCTCAGTGGTTTAATGGTTCAGTGCTCGCGCGCAAAGCCAGTAGGTCCTGGGTTCGAGCCCCGGGTGGTGTGGGTTCGTGGACGCGCACTGCTGAGGAGTCCCATAACAGGACGAAACGGCCGTCCAGTGCTTCCAGGTTTTCAATGGTGGTCTAGCTTCAACTGACTCATGATTTCAATCTGTGTAAACAGTTTTCGGTTTGAAGAGTCTTAAGGTAGGTAAAAGTTGTATAATTATTTCAATGATCATTAATTACATTAATAAATAGTAATCTACAATGTTCTTGGAATAAATATTACTTTAGGGTTACCTAGAAGAAACAAAAAAATCTAATTTCAATGACATGAAATAATTTACTTTCATAATACTGAACAAGATATTCACTAAAATTACATTCAAATTAGAAGTGGTTAGTTGATAAAAACCGTTAATATTTATTCTTTTAATCAGAGAGGGGTTCTTGTGGATATTATAGCAATTTAATAGTTGAGTTCATGAGTCAGTCGAAGTTAGCAGTGCGCATCCACGAACTCGCCTAGCAAGACTCGAACCCAGGGCCGATTGGTTTCTCGCGAAAACGCTGAGGAGTCCCATTCTAGGTCGAAACGGCCTTACAGTACTTCCATGTGTTCCATGGTGATCTAGGTTCAATTGACTCATGAACTCAACTATTAAATTTATTCTTTTAATATTTTCATTTATAACTATAACTTAAATTGTAAATTATTTTAAACTTACAGAATGAGTATCTTTGAACTACTCGAAAACAAATGAAGTTTTTGATATAACCAAGAAAACAAAGTGTTGCCATTTGTCACGAGATAATACGATCGGTCGTGTAATAGGATGAGTACACAAACAATAAACTGGTTAATAGACTGAATATTCAATCAGTTCACTAGATAGATCATTTTATTAGATCACACGTAAACATGCGTAATATCTGACTGAAAATTGAGAACCAGATTAGACAGACAATAATTCAATAACACAAGTTAAACGAAGAAATATCTCGTTTAAGTTGATTCTTCATCAAGAGTTTGTAATAATACACAAGTTTTACGATTAAGACTAAAATTAATTTAACAATGTATTTACATACTTACTCTTTAGTCAGAAACTAACTGAACACTTTTTTCTTTTCTCGACCTGTCTTTTCTCAACATCTTGATATGACAGTAATTTATTCACTCAGAGTACAAGCAATCAACCACAATTTAATCGCAATAAAAACCCTTAACGAACAACAACAGAAATAGTCAATTATCTTATGAATTATAGTTATCAGCTAATTACGGTCTACATCAGTTTTATTAGATTTATTTCAACAATGTTAGAAGTGTGAGATTAACCATCATTTTTCTAATGTTCGATAAAAGTTCAAATCTAACACCTTTGAATATTTTTACGCTCATTTAGTGAGTGAAAGCTGCATGTAAGAGCACGATTTTAACTAAAGATTTCAGTACACTTATTTAAAGCTATCTGCTCATGTTTTCTATGAACACGCTACTATAGTACATTCCAACTAACGGGATGTAAAAAGTAAGTAAAGTGTGAGTTAGAGCTTAAAATAAAATCTCCGGTGGAAATTGTATTTTCATATTCAGCACTCACTCACTAAGTGAAAGGAAAAATGCCAAAGAAAGCTTGATATTACACACATATTGAACATTATGAAAGAAATGTGCCAGAAATTCACGGACATGAATTCTATCTCTCATGGAAGCCGATATCCTCACAAGTCAAGTAATTACAAATTATCCAGATGATTTAATATTGACTTAAGTAATATGAGTTAATTTGTTTTTCTCTAACGACTCAATTAATGTCTAATTATTCTGTTCTCTCCCTGAAGTTTGTTCAGAGCAAAAAATTTGTGAGACATGTATTAAAGCATCCACTTTAAATGAAAAATGTTACTGGTGTCCAATTGTCAATAAATGTAGTCATGGATTTGATATCCACAGGCCATTATGGATGTTAAAAAGCTGTTATATTAAAGTAAGTTTTGAAAATTTAGTTGCATTTTGTTGAACATTAGTGTATTCATCTTCACAAATCTACCTTAACTTATCGTGTAGTTTGAAGTAAAAAGAACATAGAAATCGTTATCCAAGGCAATGTATAGCAACTCACGTGCAATTGAGTTTGTTCACATTTAATTCTGTTAAGTTATTAACTTATTTAACGGACTGAGTCATTTGTACAACAACAACGTATCTGTAGCATATTATCTTGATTATTGTTGCGAATGTATGAACATGTATGCTTGAGCATTGCATACTGCCTACGCATAGATTCATCCTGCTAGCTTTACTATTAGTTGCTTAATTGATTCAATATACATATACATTAAATCCTATACACATTCGACTCGCTGACTCACTCATTCTTCTCTCTGCTTTATGGTCTGAGCTATCTGCTAATAAAACTGTAGTCGCTGCTTCTCATTGTCTTCTTATTTCAAACACCGTTGAGGTTTATATTATAACGATTACTAGGGTGATTGGTTAACGAAGTACAGCCACTACAGATGAATGCAGTGTTATATGGTAAGAAAATAATAGATAAATCTATAGTCTACTATGTTTAAATCACTGGAAAAATTAACAAGTGTCAAACTACAGGGGATTTACAGTATATTTTTCACTTTGTATTGGGAGAAAGAACAAAGTGTTTAGGTACTTTGCTAAATGTGTTTTTAGAATCTTTAACAGTATGTGAGAAAAAAGTTCCAGAATGAACGTTTGTACCTCAAAGGTTATACTCCACTGTTTACAAAATTTAACAATAAAATATTTATTTAAAATAATATTTAGAATTATGAATATTGAGAAATCTAGCACATTATACCTTCAGCACCTTTTAGCCTTACAGTCCAATGCGAGTACAAGCTTTCTGATTATGTATCCATCAGCAGTTACTTGCTTACCAAAGAATGATATTCCAGGAAGTTCAAACACTTAGTCCATCTTTTACATGAAATGAAATTAATAAGAATCATGCAATTTATTAGCGTAATACCTATTGAACACTTACACAATTCGTGAATTTGTGAGATCAGCTTTCGGTTTTTATTGATTGAGATCATGAACCCATTAGTGTTAGACCACCAATGAAAACCTTGAAGCACTGGACGACCGTTTTGTCCTATTGTGGAACTCCTCAGCAGTGCTCATCCACGATCCAGGTTTTTAAGCTGTGCATACAGTATGGTTGATTTCTGTGAAATGAATCGTATGATATAAGGAATGGACTTGAGAAGTTCTTATCGCATCCAATGATATTTTGTTTGCTTTTTTTCAGAACACTACAAAGTGTCAAGTGTCAACCACTTCAGTGTACAAACAGGAGCATGGTCTGAGCAGCATGCAAACCACTGAGTATTATTCAAACATTTTCCCTAACTACAGCTTTACAAACTATGCAAAAACAACTCCTGAACTATCAACAACAAATTCATTAAACTCTAAAACCACGAAAAATGGATTTCGAACTAACCAACTTCCATCATTTATTTGGAATTATAGGAACCTAGACAAAAGTGGTATCAGTCTCCCTTTATACTCATTCATTTTAATGCCAACTGCATTAGCGGTCCTTTTTCTAAGTCTAATGTGTGCTCTGTGGTTATGTGTATATAAAAGATCAAAAGTATGTTATTGTCTCACTTAAAAAGCTGAATTTTTTAGTGTAGCATTTTATGTCTTTCGGTGTAATCCATTAAAATGAGTTATTAGATACACGTTCAGTATAGACATCTATAATTTCAATACACTTTCTGTATTTATTACCAAACCCTAAGTCATTTATAATTTTTGTGAAGGTGATTACTTGAAGTAGGTACATTTTAATTCAGAATCTCAAATTTTTTTATTTAATTGTGATATACGGTCCAACTCGAC